GGTGGGGCGGTGGAAAGTGCCCACGGTTACTTTCCTGTTTGCATTTAAAAACTCTGACATTTCCCGCCTTATTGGAGTCCTGGTTCTAGGCGGGAATCAGGAGACCTGGTTTTCAGATCAGCTCTCCCCGACTTGCTGTGTGACTGTGGGCAAGTCCCTTCCCCTCTCTGGGCCTCGGTTTTCCTGCTGTAACACAGTATGTTCACTGGGGTCCTTCCTTGTGACACTGTTTCGTGATTCTTTAAAGTTTATTTTTTTAAGTTTTTTTTTTGAGAGAGCGAGCGCGCGCGTGGTCCAGGGAGAGGGACACACAGAATTCGAAGCAGGCTCCAGGCTCCGAGCTGTCAGCACAGAGCCCGACGCGGGGCTCGAACCCATGAACTGTGAGATCATGACCTGAGCTGAAGTCAGACGCTTAACCGGCTGAGCCACCCAGGCAACCCCCTATGTTGTTGTTTGTGTTTTTTTTAATGTTTATTTTATGTCTGAGGGGGAGAGAGAGAGAGGGAGGGAGACCTAGAATCTAAAGCAGAATCCAAGCTCTGAGCTGTCAGCACAGAGCCTGACACGGGGCTCAAACTCATGGATGTGAGATCATGACCTGAGCAGAAGTCGGACGCCCAATAGACTGAGCCACCCAGGTGCTCCTCATGTTGTGGTTTTGAGGCTGAAGTCATTCTCTGAAAAAAACCTCTGTTTGCCCTTAAGGTCTTCAGCTTATTAGATGAGGCCCACCCCTGTTACGGTGCATTGTCTGTTTTATGCGTAGTCAACGGATTGTAAATGCTAGTGACATCTGCAGATACCTCCACGGCAACATCTGGGCTATTGTTTGACCGACAACTGGGCACCATTGACCAGACAAGTTGACACAAAATCAACCATCACAAAGCCAACGAGACCAGACTCACCCCGGTGCCAGAGCCCTCTGCTCCCCCTGGGTGCCCAGCCAGCCAGCCGCCACCGTTTGGGCTCCTAGACCACCTTCCCGAGGAACAGATGGGCTCCCTTCCCCTGCCCTGGCCGCACTCCCGTCCTGTGTGGGCTGGGGTCCCCCTGCCCGCACGCAGTGGAGGGGTGTGGCGGGGCGGGGGCGGGCCCTGGGATGGTGGAGAGAGCCTGGGTTTACTCCAGTGTAGGGTGATACACGTGGGGGCAGCTCACAGGCTCCCCCCTCCCCAGACCGGCTGCTGCCACCGTCTATGCGTGATGTGCCCACGTCTGAGCGCGCAGACCTCAGAACAAATACCTGCCTGTGCTTCTCGAGACAGGCCGTCAGGGTAAAGGTGTTAAGCCTGTAAAGGAAAAAAGGAGTCAGCTTTACACTGCTTGCTAAAAGCAGACTCTGGAGGAAACACAAAGCCTTCTTACTTTTGGGGGGGGGGCCTTGAACTCCCAATCTGCCCAGGTGTGCTGCTCCCCCCCAGGTGTGCTGCTCCCCCCCAGGTGTGCTGCTCCCCCCCAGGTGTGCTGCTCTGCCCAGGTGTGCTGCTCAGAGGAAGGCCTCTCCCCAGGGGCAGCAGAGAAGAGGCCTGGGTCCACTCTGGCCGACCCCCCAGGTGGTCAGTGCCTCCTGCGAGGCTTTGAAGTGCGAATATTCCAGATGAATTCTCCTCCCCTGGGTCGGGTGGGTCCCTTGAGGAACCCCCAGGAGGTTTGCTTTCAGGCTGTCTGTCCGGCCTGTGGCAGGCTTATCATTCCGGGACAGCCCACGGAAGGGGCCTGTGGGACTCTGGAAGCTCTGGGCGTGGGGACAGGTGGCCCCCTTCCCTCATCAGACACCAGGGAGCCTCTCTCACTGTCGTAAGGGACAAGCGGAATGACAGGGTGGCGATGAGCCCCCCACCAGACTGGGATTCTCCCCCACCCCCACCCCAGGCAGCAGCAGCCCTGGCACCCTCGCGCCAGCCACCAGCCTCGTTGGGTGGCCCGGGGACACATGACTAACCGGGGGAGAGTTCTTGGCTCACCTGGCTTCCTGGGGGGGCTCCTTCCAGACCAGCCGCCATGGCCGCGTCCGGAGCTGAGGGTGCAGGTGATTGGGTTTCTTTTCTCTCTTTCCCTGCAGGCAGGGGTGGGGGAGGGAGCTCTCAGCGAGGCCTGGCCTCACCCTCTGCCACCCACCTCTCAGGTCCCCTGCCAGCAGCCTCCGGCTTGGGGAGGGCCCGGCGTTCCCGAGGCGCACACAGCGGGCCGTGCGGGCGCCCTTGTCTGGTGCTCTTCCAGGGAGCAAACCCGATCCCCGCGTGCGCCCCGGCCCCGACTGTCACCCTGTCTGCCTTCCAGGGTGGCCGGCACGTCAAGTCATTGGTATGAGACGGAGGCCTTGAGGGACTGGCCTGGAATTGTCTGCCCTGGCGAGGGCGAGGGGGGGTGGCATCATGGGGAGGGGTTCCCTGGAGGTGACATCCAGCTCGGCCCAGCCAGGATGCCCGTGCCTGCGAGCACGTGACCCCGGGGCCTCCCCGTCCCCTTTCCTGAGGCCTCTCTCCAGGCGCCTCTGCCCCCGCCCTCCCTCCCCCTGTCCTGGGCCCCTCCTCGTGTCCAGCCAGGGTCTCCCACCAACAGGCCTCAGCAGCAGGGCAGTGAGGGGCCGGGGCAGAGAGGGCAAAACCCTTGGCGAGGCCTCGTAGCCGTCTGAGGAGGCAAGGAGCCTGGCCAGGGCCTTGGGGGGGGGGCGGGGCGCACAAGGAGGCGGAGGAAGGAGGTGGTAGAGGCTGGCGGGTGGGCTCGGTCAGTGTCGGGGCTCCGCGAGCGGGAGTGCAGGAAGCCTAGGCGAATGTGCGCAGGGGGGAAGCGGTGGAGAGGTGGTGGGGAGCCCGGAGTAAGTGGGGCGTCCTGGGACTGACCTGGGCCGCGCGTGCACCTCCGTGGCCTCAGTTTTGTTCTCTGGTAAATGGGGACAGTGGCCTTTCTCAGGGTGAGGGGGCCAGGCAAGGGCTGCATTCCTGCCTCCCTAATTCCATCTACAGTTGTTTTTAAAAAATGGTTATTTATTTATTATGAGAGAGAGAGAGAAAGAGAGGGGCAGGGAGAGGGAGAATCCCAAGCAGGTTCTGCAGGCTCAGCGTAGAGTTAATGAGGGGCTCCGTCCCACGACCGTGGGGTCATGACCTGAGCCAAAGTCAAGAGCCGACACTCAACCGACAGAGGCCCCCAGGCGCCCCTGCAGCTGTGACTTATCACAGTTCAGTGTGCAGCCGCTTGTGAGACGAGAGCACACGTGTGCACGATTCAGAACCTGGTGCCGTTCACTACGGAGGCTCTGTCTCTCTCAGCAGAACTACGGGGAAGTACGTGGGTACGTGGCGGACCTGCGCCCCCCACCCCCGGCTCTTTAGGTCCTAACGAAGCCGACCTGGGTCCCCTGCCGCCACGTCCCGCCTGATGACATGAGCTGTTCAGACCCTGTTCATGTTCCCCCCTTTGCCCCGGGACCGTTTCCCCTGCTGGCTCATAAACCACGACCCCATCAGGGTTTGTCTCGTTAGGCCCTTCCAGAAGTTTCCACGGGGCTCCTGCCTCTCCCCTGCTTGCTCCCTCCCTCACTCATTTGCTTTTTTGTTTTTGTTTTTAATGTTTATTCTTTTTTGAGAGAGAGAGAACAAGCATGAGCAGAGGAGGGTCAGAGACAGAGGAAGACAGAATCCGAAGCAGCTCCAGGCTCCGAGCTGTCAGCACAGAGCCCGACGCGGGGCTCAAACTCATGGACCGTGAGATCATGACCCGAGCCGGAATCAGATGCTTAACCGACTGAGCCCCCCAGGCGCCCCCTTTTTATTTTAGTAGCAACTTATGAAGAGGCCAGGCCAGTTGCCCCGTATAGTGTCTCTTTCTAGAGTTCTCTGATTTTTGTCCCTCACGGCGTCCTTTCCCATGTTCTTCAATTCCAGGGGCGCATTCCCCTGGAGCAGCAGTGCCGGGGGCTCCCTTAGGCCCCCGGGAGACCTTCGGGGACGCGGTCTTCCTAACGGGGTGGCCTCCGTATGGCTGTGCACGGGAGGCACCGTGTCACGTTGTGTCCTTGCTGCTGAGCTCGCCGGCTTGACTGAGGTGCTGGCCCCCGGGGGCTCTGCCGGGAGCAGGCCACTTTCCTGTCCCCTAGTCGATTGGAGGACATTTCTTTGCCTCAGAAGGAACCCATCCTGATTGGCTGCTACCTGCCTAGTCCCCCACCTCCCCCAGCCCCTGGCAGCCACCACCCACTTTCTGTCTATGGAGTGGCCGGTTCTGGACATTTCAAATAAATGCAATCCTCTCTTGTGCTTGACTTCTTTCACCGGACACCGTGCTTTCAAGGTTCATGCACACAGTAGCACGGGTCAGTACTGCGTTCGTCTTCGTGGACGAATCATATTCCGTCGTTTGGGCACTAACAGGGATTTTTGTCAAGATTTGCACAGGTGTCGATCCATTATCCTGGGCACAGAATAACCACGTGTGCTAACTCCTAGCCGGTATAGCCACAAGAAGTTCCAACTGGTTGTTGCTGGCCTCAGTTTCCCCCTCTGGGAATGGGCGCAGGGCTGAGCCTGCATCTCTCTGGGCAGAGATGATGGGGGCCTTGGAATGATTTGGCCCTGAAAGGGCTGTTTGCACTCTGAGCGTGTCCTGCCCCCCTGCCCCCCTGCCCTGCTCTCCCAGGCCGCGGGCCGCTTGGGGACAGGGAGCTCCATCCGGGGGCTTCAGTCCCCAGGAAGGGGCCCACGCGTGGGGTCGGCACCCCCTGCTGGGGCTCAAGCTCCCTCGACTGCGGGAGATATTTGGGGAGGTGGGCCTGCCCCGTGTGGAGGGTGGGCCGGGCAGAGGGTCTTGGGGGACCAGAAGCGGGGGCTTTTCTGAGTTCAGGAGAGAAGAGCAAACCAGGCCCTTCCTTGCTCGAAGGGCGTTTCCTTCATTCCTTGAACCCTGTGTGCACGTGTGTTCAATGTCCCCGGGTTCCGTGTGCTTCTCCCTCAGGGTGTCGGAAGGACCCCACGCCCAGAGGCGGCATCGGGGCCGCGTGCCCGGGCCACGCGACGAGCAGCGGATCATGTCGCGGCTGGCCCTGGAGGAGCTGGCCGAAACAGGTGAAGGCGTGCTTTCCCTCCAGCCTCGTCCGCGGGAAGTAGCCTTGCTCTAAATAGAGAGTAAACACACACATGTGGCTCGGAAAGTCTGGCCCGATAAGAACGGCTTGGTGAGGTCCTTCTACCTCACCTGGGGCCTTACCCCTTCCCCGCCCCAGTCTGCCCCAGGTAGCGACTTTTTAATCTTTCCGGGGTTCTGTGCAGAGTCAAGTGAGCCCCTGTGGGGGATGGAGCCACCGACCTGGGTGGTTATGAGGCTCCAGTGGGATAATATCCTCATTCACGCGCAGGGCTATGCACTAAGGTGCCCGAGACCAGATCCCCATCTTACAGACAGGCAAACTGAGGCTCAGAGTGACTGGAGAACACGACGAGGGCACCCCATGACGGGGCCCAAGCTAGGGGGAGAGCGTCTTCACGGACCCCTTGGCGGTTTGGTTACCATCACGTGTGCACGTGTGTCCGCGAGGGGCCGGGCTACTCCGTCCGTTTCCCGCTAGTGCACGTTGCTCCTCGAAGTTTGCGATGACCTGGCCCGTGGCCCCGAAAGAAGTGAATTTCCGTTCCCCTGTCGCGTCGCACCCCGATGCTGCCTGATCCCGGCTCCCGAGACCCGGTGCCGCCGCCTTCCGGGTTGCCCTCCTTGCTGCCCTAAGGCGTGTTTCTTGCTCGGGGCTGTGTGGCTGCGGGACAGCGACGCCCCTCAGCGGGATGCTAGCGGTGCGGGCAGGGCGTCCTTGCTCCTCCGCCCGCTGCCGTCCTTAAGATGGTCCAGTTTGTTCCGCCGCCTCGTGTTTCCTTATGGCGGGGCCCCCGTGTGCCCGGCCGGTTTTTTTCTTTTTTTTTTTTTTATTGGGGTGCAATCAACACAACATAAAACTAGCCATCGTAGAGTATTTACCTCATTCGTCACGAGGTGTAGTGTCAGAACATTTGCATCGCCCCGGAAGGAAGCCCGCACCCCATGAGGCAGCCACTCCGTCCCTCAGCCCCTGGACGTTTGCATCACCCCAGACGGAAACCCGCACCCCATGAAGCAGCCACTCCGTCCCTCAGCCCCTGGGAAGCATCAGTCTGCTTCCTGACTCCCTGGACTTACCCGTCCTGGGCACTTCGTACAGTGGAATCGCGCATTCTACGGCCTGGCTTCGTTAACTTCGCGTGGTATTTTCAGGTCTGCCTGTGTCGTGGCCGTGTCAGTACCGCGCTCCTCGCGTGGCTGAATGGTGCGCCCCTGCCCAGGCAGCCCGCATCTCGTCCGCTCCTCCACGGACGGACGTGTGGCCGGTGCCACTCTGCGGCTGTGGTGATCAGTGCTGCCGGGAACGCGGCGTGCGCTTGTATCCGTTAGAATTCCTGTTTCAGTGCTGCGGGGCGCACTCTGCTCGTGGACTCGCTTCCAGCTGGCGCCCGGCTTGTCCGTCAGCTGCAGCAGCTGTCTTCCTGTCTGTGTCTCCTTTCTCAGCAGGACCCAGGCGTGGGACTTAGGGCCCGCCCTGATCCAGTGTGACCTCGTCGGAACTAATGTCATCTCTAAAGGCACAATTTCCAAATAAGGTCGTGCTGTGAGCCTCAGGCAGACGTGAGCCCCGAGGGAGCGCGATGGCACCCCGTGCATCTGGGGACCACGGTCTGCTCTGACCAGAAATGTGAAGGCCCCATTCTTTTTCCAGTCGGAGACGGCTCTGTCCTGTTGCGTCTCGTATGACGGAACCTCACCTACTAAAATTAAACCGGAAGATGGTGCTTTTATCCCCTTCACAGCACAGTGACCCGCCTCTGCCCGCGACCCAGCCACGGTTTCCTGCCGACTGCCAGTGTCTGCATCTTCCAGGAGGGCCTGGGTTGGAATTTGGAGCTGGGAAGTCAAGTTCAAATCCACACACCACTGCCAGTGAGCAGTGTGACCTTTTCGGCCGTCTCTGAGCCTCAGTTTCCACTCCTGTCAGTGTGGAGGATAGTATCAGCCCTCAGGCCTCATTTTATCCCTCCATGGTTCTGCACACTGTAGATGCATAGTGGGTGCACAGGAGGGGTGGGCGTATAGTGGGTGCACGGGAGAGGTGGGCGCATGGTGGTGCACACTGAGCAGACGCATAGTGGGTGCACGGGAGAGGTGGGCACATAGTGGGTGCACAGCAGAGATGGGTGCACGGTGGGTGCATGGCTGAGGGATGGTGCCCATCCTATAAAGAGACCTCGGGAGGCTCCCTTGTTGCCCGTCTTTCTCAAGAGGACGGCTGACTTCTGCAATCCTCGTTGTCTGCCGCAGAGCTGCAGAGAGATGAAGAGGAGGCAGCCGCCCTGAGCGTAACGAGAAGACCCCCGGCGGTGCCCGCGGCTGGCCAGGACCCTGCGCTGAGCGTGAATCACCCCTTCTACGATGTGGCCAGACACGGTATCCTGCCCGTGGCAGGTGGGTTGCAGCTGGGTGGTCCCAGGAACGGCGACAGGTGCGTGGGCCCCGTGGAGGGGGGGATTCATCGGGCCGCCTCCCTCCAGCTGGCTGTGGGCTGCAGAATGAAAAGCACAGTAGGAGCAGAGGTACCCACTGGTGTTTTGAAGAAGTGGATGATGTATGTGTCACTGTCTGATGTGTGTCAGGGCAGCCACTGCCCGGGTGCCCGGGCAGCCACCAGGCGGCGCGTCCTGCCCATCTTCACAGAGCAGAGGCCGAGAGGAGATGGGCTGCTCTATTAACCAAGGACAGAAGGAGCAAACACCTGTCCAGACGGAGAAGAGCGCCGTCCCACGGGCAGCGGCGGGGCCGGGGGCTGCAGGGCCTCACTTGGATCAGGTGTCAGGGGTCAGGTCAGGGCCCTGGCGTGTCTCACGCGGGCAGCGTGGTGGCCGAGGACGGGCGGGATGTGTGGAGGTGTGTGAGGGGAGGTTTATCGCAGGGACTGGCTCTCATGCCACCGTGGAGGCCGAGAAGTCCCGGCACGTGCCGTGGGGGAGCCGGCGTAGGACCCCTAGCCCAGCTCTGCTCTGGGATCCGGGTGCGCCGGTGCCTCGTCCGCGGGCTGAGAAAGTGGATTTCCCAGCTCAAGCGGAGGGTGGTTTCGCGGTGCCCCTTTGTTCTGCCGGGGCTGCCTGCGTGGGGAAGGGCGCTCTCCCTCACTCCATTCAGATGCCGCGAACACGCACGCGCACCGAGATGTCCCGTCCTGCCCGCCATCCGGGCCTCGCTCAGCCCAGCGAGGTGACATGGAGTCAGCCGTCCTGGGCACGGAGCTGACGCCTCATGCCTGCGCTGAGACCCGTAAACGTTAGCTCCTGTCCCCACTGGGCTGGTCTTGTCAAGTGGTGATCAGAGGGCTGGTTACCAGCAGCTGGCGGCCCCAGAGCCGTGGACAGGACGCACTTGAGCGCATGCTCCGCCAGAGGGACTGGGTGGTGGGGATCGGGCAGGGGGTCACCCGTCTGATGGCCCAGCTGTTCATTCCGGAGAACCTTTAAGGTTTGGGGAGTGGTGGCTCAGTCGGTGAAGCGTCCGACTTCGGCTCAGGTCATGATCTCGCGGTTCGTGGGTTCAAGCCCCGTGTCGGGCTCTGTGCTGACAGCTCAGAGCCTGGAGCCTGTTTCAGATTCTGTGTCTCCCTCTCTCTCTGACCCTCCCCTGCTCACGCTGTTTCTCTCTCTCAGAAATAAATAAAATGTTAAAAATTTTTTTAAAAAAATGAATAAACAATTATTTTTAAAATTTTCTCTTTTAGGGTTCTAGTATGGTCAACTTCTGTAGAAATCACCCAATCTTCTTTCTTTGTACAGCTCCTTGCGAGCCTTTGTGATTTTAAGAGTATCAAAGGGTTCTGAGAGCGAACGTGTGGGAGGCCGTGGCCTTGCCCGTGAGCGGTGGGGGTGGACGTGCACCCCAGCGTTGGACAGCGTGTCCTGTGTGTCCCACTCAGGTCCCGGGGATCACCGGAGTCCAGGTCTCCCGCGTCCTCACTGGCTTCTCTGTCACTTCTCTCCGTTGTTGACTGAGGGGTGTCCAGAGCGCCCACGATCGAAATATATTAGTTTCTGCCTTTAGTTCCTTTGCTTCTGTTCTGTGGGTCTTAATGCTGTGTTTTAGGGGCAGGCGCACTTAGGATTGTGGGGTCTTCGTGACGGGCTGACCTTGGTGTTACTAAATGCTGGCCTTGACAAATGGCCGGGCGCCCACGTCGATATCTCCTCGCTGGTGTGTCTGACGTTACTCTCGTCGGGACGCTGCACCAGCTTTCCCCTTAGTGGTGGTGCTAGATACGCCTTCTCTGTGCCTTTCCCTTCGACCTGTCCCCGGCTAGCTCGCTCTCTGTCTCTCTTTTTTAGGTTTATTTGACAGTGAGCGTGTGTGAGCGGGGGAGGGGCAGAGAGAGAAGGAGAGAGAGAATCCCAAGCAGGTTCCACGCTGTCAACACAGAGCCCCACGTGGGGCTTGAACTGACAGACCGTGAGATCGTGACCTGAGATGAAATCTAGAGTCGGCTGCTTAACCGCCTGAGCCCCCAGGCGCCCCAGCCTGTCCCAGTCTTTACAAACAAAACACATTGTGTATGGACCGCTTCCCATTAGATCTTCTTGCACTTTTGTTGAGAGGTGGCTGCATCGTAGCGGGAACTGTGTTCTCCAGGCCTTGTGTTTTGTGCTCTGGAGTTGGTGCTTAGTCTTGGCAGCTCTGGGAGCATGAGGCGGAGGGATGGGGCTGTGGCTTAGAGCGGTCCTTGGCGCGGCGTGGCTGGTGCCGATGGAGCCGCAGGGGGCCCGACGGGAGCCAGGACAGAGGGCTGAACACGTGCCATGGTGGTGGCATGGAGCAGAGGGGATGGATTTGAGAGAGGTGTTCAATGCCAGGCTGGAGGCTGAGCTGAAAGCTACCTGGGAAGGGCCCCGCACATCCAGTGAGGCTTCCAGGGGTGCAGAAGGAGAGCTGAATCAGAGACGGGGGCCCTGGGAAGTAAGGCGGGGGTCGTTGCTCTTTTTAATTTTTTTAAGTTTATTTTTGAGAGAGAGAGCGAGCAGGGGAGGAGCAGAGAGAGGGGGAGAGAGAATCCCAAGCAGGTCTGCGCTGTCGTCCCAGAGCCTGATGCAGGGCTCGAATCCACAGACCGTGAGACCGTGACCTGAGCTGAAGTCAAGAGTCAGATGCTCAACTGACTGAGCCCCCCAGGCACCCCTGGGATTGTTGCTCCTTTGCGGGCCTCATCTTCCCCTGCTGGGCAGGGGGGCCTGGGGGCCGGAATAGGGTTCCTTCCTGGAGCGAGGCTGTGGGTGTCCTCTGTTGTGAGTGCTTCAGCTCCATGAAGGGTCTGCGGCAGGATCTTCTAGAGACTTCAGGTTGTCATGGCCAAAGGCTTGAATCCATCCTCAAGCTACGGTATCTTTGGGGGGTGTCGCTGCTTGGGTGGCAGTCCTCGGGCTCCAGAGAGTTCTCTTGTCTTAGAGCAGAGTTCTTGCTCATTGGAACACCAGCTTCTTGAGATATTTAACTGTAGAGAACATCTGATGGCCTCGGGCTGCCCTTAAGAGATGCCCGTCCAACCCGGGGTCCTCAGGAGTAAGGTAGAGGCGGCTGGGGCAGAGCTGGCGTGGCCAGACATCCCTCCCTGTCAGGGGGCTCCCCTGGTTTTCTTCTCCGGGTATCACTTCCCCTAGAACTCGACATCCGCAATCACAGCCAGAAATCAGAGTCTTGTCCAAAGTAACACTGGATGAGCTCTCGATATTTAAGCAGTTGTGGACGTGGCCAAATAGAAGCTTTATAGAATTATAATTCTTTAAGATCACATATTCTAAATAAAACTGATTCAGTATTTTATTCATTTATTTTTTTAACGTTTATTTTTGAGAGAGAGAGAGAAAGACAGAGGTGAGGGGCACCTGGGTGGCTCAGTCAGTTAAGCATCGGACTTCGGCTCAGGTCATGATCTCAGGATTCATGGGTTCAAGCCCCACGTCAGGCTCTGTGCTGACAGCTTGGAGCCTGGAGCCTGTTTCAGATTCTGTGTCTCCCTCTCTCTCTGCCCCTCCTCCACTCATGCTCTGTATCTCTCTGTCTCAAAAATGAATAAACTACAAAAAAAAAAAAAAAGGTGAGTGGGAGAGGGGCAGAGAATCGGAAACACAGAATCGGAAGCAGGTCTCAGGCTCCGAGCTGTCAGCACAGAAGCCGACGCGGGGCTTGAACCCACGAACCCTAAGATCATGACCTGAGCCGAAGTTGGACGCTTAACCGACGGAGCCCCCCCAGGTGCCCCTGATTTCAGCATTTTAAAATGTGCTCACCGTCTGGAGCTTAGTGGAGGCTGTGAGCACAGAGGGAGATTCCCTGGGGGAGAGCTGGGTGGGCAGGGGGGAGGTCCAAGCCCGAGGAGCGGAGAGGCTGGAGGCGTGATCCAGAGACACAGAGGAGGTGAGAGGCAGGGGAGAGAAGGAAAGGACAGGTGGATCTGGGTCTGTGGGTGCCGGGTCGCCGCCCTGGACCCAGATCCTCCCCCAGGTTAGGCCCCAGCCAGGCTTCCCTGCAGGATGCGGACGAAACGGGCCTTTGAATGTCCTTTCATGTCTGCAGAGAAGACGAGCAGCCCTAAAACTGAAACCCAAAGAGACAAACTCCCAAATCGCTCCCGGTTAGACTGCCGCTGCCGTCATTATGCATTTTAACTGTCCTTCCCTTGCAGCGGATGACAGATCGGCGGGGGCGCGCTCCAGGCGACGGCTCTGGGAACCGTGTCTTTATGCATAAGCAGGGCCTCTTCCGCACGGGAGACAGTGAGCAATGTCCCGTTGCACGCGGCGAGGCGAGGAATAGGGCCGTGAATGAAACCGAGGCCGCGGAGAATTTGCATCTTATTGACGGCTTTCATTTCTTTGCACATTATATCATTTTGAAGCCCGTTTTCGATACGCCGGCCCGAGTCACCAGAGAACGACGAAGGGGTATTTACTCACATCGACTGATGTCATTAATGCAGGTGCCACGCTGACTGCTTAGTAAGCAGGACCCCGGACGTGCCAGGGGGATTCATCAGAGGGCTGCCCCACAGGCGTGCACTCAGGGGTCCTCCCGCCGCCGCCCGGGGGGCTCAGGGGCCCAGGGCCCAGCGCGGGCTGGGAGGCAGCTGGCTGCCAGCGTGGACCCAGCTCCGATGCTCGCGTGGCCTCCCGGGCCTCAGTTTCCTCTTCTGTAAATGCAGCAGCATGCCTGGAGGCATAGGCGTCAGGCCCGGGGCGCACTGATTGAGCACTTACTGCATGCCAGTGCTCTGCCAAGACTTCATTCGGTTGCTGACTCCGTCCTTCCCGCGGAGGCCCTCCCAGCCGCGTTTATTGTGGCCTCCGTACTGCAGAGCAGCAGAGAGGCTGGGGGGGGGGGTGCTGGCTGCGGGGGGCCCGGCCCAACCCGTGCCTCCCTCCTGGCTTTTCATTCAC